GAGGCCCACCCCTTGCCCATCTGGGCCCCGCCGGGCGGCGCGTGACTCGGTCAGTGTCTCAGACGTGGCACATCCTTGCTATGCTTCAGGGCTATTCCATCCACTGGAGGAGCCTCGTTCCTTCTTCCTGTGAATTTTGAATCATGTTTACATTCCGGATACCCAGTCGTCTTCCTGTCAGCCAGTGTCCAGGCTTTGTAGTCCCAGGTGACTGGTCATCTCCCTGGGGGTGCGCTGGGTCTCCCGCCATCATGGCAGTGACCGGAGCTGAAGGGACAGCCCAACATGTGACTCAGCCGGTGGTCACAGAGCTTACGACGTGCCCGGACCCAAGGGTCTGAGGGCGTCTGTGACCTCCTCCGAGTCCGGGCACCTGGCGGGCTGTGGCGTTTACACGTTGGACTCAGGGATCCTCCCTGGCCCTGCAGGCCAGGAGGGGCGGGTGGGCGAGCGCGTCCTGCTCCCGGACCACCTGGTACAATGGACTTTCCGGGCAGCATAAAAGTGTTTTGTTTCCCACATTGGTCAGTGGGTCTCTTTCACAAGTCGTGTTCGTGTAGAAATGCTGTTGTTTGGGACGCCCTGGGCCTCCTTCCAGGGCAGTGTTGGTCTCCGTCCCAGAGAGTCCTGCCGTCTTCCACACGCATGTGACCTGCGTGCGCAGCCAACCTGTCGTCGCACAAGCTGCTATCATCAGAACCGGGGCCAGACAGCGTTCGTCAGCTGCTGTGGAAAGACACAGAGAACGGTGTGATGTGGCGCTACCCGGGTTCATATTTCCCGTGTCTTTGCTACGGTTTGTTAACTACAAAGGTTCGTGAAACCGAACGTGGATATAGGGGGACGGTCAGTCTAGTCAGAGAAGAAGGGGAGTGGGTGTCCTTATCCTGCAGCGGCCATGGAAGTTCCTGTTCTCCCTGGAAACATAAAGAAGCAGGTGGAACCATCACCAGCAGTTTTCAGCAACAGCGACACCAACATCGCGAGGAGAAAACAGTATGGCTTGCCGAACAGAGCACAATTAGGTGCAAGAAACTACCCCTGAAGGAGTCTTGTTTTGAGAATTATTAGAAAAGACTAAGAACATTCTAAAATGTGCTGCACGAAGTCAGAACACACACGTGGAAGTAAAGGAAATCAGAAACGTGCACAGCCTGAGCATGTGCATAAGAAGTTACGTAAAGGAATCGAGTCCCAGGCTGAAGTGTGCAGGCGCAAGATTCACGAGTGCAGGTCAGTGCTCACGGGAAGGTGCAAAGGCCCAGGGGTAGAACTAGAGCCACACAATGGGAGGATGGGAAGAAAAGCACAGAAAGCAGTGGACAGAGGCCGGTGACCTCCAGGGTCCCATTCACTTGGGTGCACACGTGCACCCAGTGGAGGTCGCAGCAGAGAGAAAGGGGCATGAGAATATTTGAGAAGTTGCGGAAAGTTTCCTGAATTTGATGTCAGAAGACGCAGGTGTACAAACGCAAGAGCTTAATGACTTCCTCATAGAATCAGTTCAGAGAGACGCACAGCAGAGACCGTGTTGAAAGGCAGAATCCTGAGCATCATGAGAAGCGATGCGTAATGCCTAAGACGTCCTCAGGTCAACAGCTGTTTTCTCCCCGAAGAGATGGGGCTGCCTGGGTATCTCCGTTCGTTACGTGTCCAGCTGGTGGTTCTTGCTCAGGTTGCAATCATACTGAGTTGTGGGATCGAGTCCCAGGTCGGCCCCTGCTCGGCAGGGGGTCTTCTTGAGATTCTCGCCCCAGGCCCCTCTGCCCCATCATGGGCGCTCGCGCGCTCTCAAATCTTTAAAAAAAAAAAAAAAAAAAAGCCATGAGTCTATGGAATGATCTGCTTTGATGAAAGAAAAGTTTTCAACCAAAGATTCTGTATACAGCAAAATTGACTCTCAAAATGTGGGAGGATTTAAGATCTTCCCAGAGAAAAGCCGAGGCCCTCGTTGCCAGTCAGCCTGGCGTGTGTGATGCGGTCGCGGGAGGCCGTCAGATGGGAGCGGAAGGGCACTCGGGAGGGAGGAAGGAAGATGTCTGTCAGAGACCGCCGTGGGGGGTCCAAAAGCCAGGGTCGGGTTTTGTTCGCAACTCCAGCCTTCACCCCACAGGCCTCAGCGACACGTGTCCAGCAGCGACAAGTGTCCGTTTGGGGCCACGGTGTACGACGACAGGCACCTAAAGGGGTAGCTGGGAGCCGCTCCAAGGTCGGGTGTGTGTGTGAGTGCGTGGAGTTGGCGTCCGTTGGGAGGAATGTGCTGCCAGCCGGGGCTGCTCAGGCCTCGCCACGTCCCGCGAACTGCGTCATCACTGAACACGCGGCGGCAGGTCGGGAAGGAAGTCGAGGCCGTGAGCAGCGCAGAGAACTGGCCGGACTAGCGGGCGGGGCGGCAGCCCGAGCTGCAGTAGGGTCCCTGCCCTTCTGAGGTGCGTGGGGAGCCCTCCCCAGGCTCTGCCGGAGGTCAGGACGCAAAACAAGTATTCCTGTGTTTCTAAAAATTGAAAAAATAGTATGTTTGAGCCGCAGTGGAATGAAGCTGGAAGTCAGAGGACAAATAAGAGAGAAAACGGGCAAATTCGTAGATCCGTGGAAATTAAACAACACACACGCTCAGTGGGTCAGAGAGGAAAGCAGAAGGGAAATTTTCAGAATTCTGAGATCCATGAGAGCAAAGGCACAAAATACAGGATTTATGGGAGGCAGAAAAGGCCGCGCTCAAATACAAGTGTATGATTTTGAATGCCTGCACGTGAGAGAGGGAAGAGACCGGGTTCCCGGCCGGCTGGGTCGATGAAACACGAGCCTCCCGATGTCAGGGTCATGACTTCAGGCCCCACGCTGGGTGTAGAACTTCCTTAAAAAATAGTAGTAAAGGAAGAAAGCTCAGATTAATGCCAAGCTGCTTAGCTTGAGGAGCTGGGGGACAGGAAGCAAACCGCCGCGAGCGGGACGGAGGGAGTCAGGCAGAGGGTCGGACAGGGACACAACACAGTCCCCAAACCGGAAGTCGGTTCTTTGGAAAACATCGGCGAAATTGATCTTTAAGGTGACAAAAAGCAGGAAGGCAGATAACTAAAGTCAGAACCGGAAGCAGGCCGTTCCCAGTGAACTTACAAAAGTGGCAAAGACCGTAAGACACTGTGATAAAAAGTCGTACGTGGACAAGTTTGATCATCTTTGTAAGACGGACAGATTACCTAAGAACGCTCCAGAGACGACAAGAAAACTTCAAGAGACTTAGAACACTCAGACCGAAACAGTGGTTGAGGACGAAAGGAAGCCGGGGCACGTGGCTTCCCTGCACCTCCTGGCACGCGAGACTCTTGATCTCGGGGGTTGTGAATTTGAGCCCCACGCTGGGTGTAGAGACTACTTTAAAAAAAATCTTTTTCAAAGTAATGTTTTGAAGAATTAGCACCAATCTTTCTCAGACTTCCAGAACCTTGGGAGGAGGGCGCACTCTAATCAGTTCTGTGAGGCCCGTGTTACCTTGATACCAAAACCAGATACATTTCGGTAAAAGAAGACTACGAACCGCAAACACAGGACCGGGCCTCGTTCTCCAGGTGCGTGGGCTTTGGATGGAGGATCAAGACCCAGTTTTGGCCCCCATGAAGTTGGGAGGAGGGTTTCTGGACCCCCAGACGTACCCGCATGGTCGGGGCCACCGGGCGTGGCAGGACAGAGGGAATCAGAATGCACCTGTCTGGGTCTTCCTCGTGCCACCCCAGGCATGGAGGCGCTGCCCGGAGGGTTTGGAGGGGAGAACATGGTGAGCCTGCGGTTGGGGTATTAGTGTCTGGCGCCTGGGCTAGGAGGAGGGAGTGAGAGCAGGACCAGCCTGAGGAGAAACTGCCATCCAGGGGGAAGGAGCTGCGAGTCCTCGTGTCTTGTCCTGGCCTCTACCCTCCAGAGACCACGAAGACCCTGCATGGGCACCTCTCTACTCAACACAGGACAGGCAGCCCTGGGTGCGGGCACGGGGACACAGGAACAGGGACACGGGGACACGAGGACACGGGAGCTTGGGTACACAGAGACAGGATGGGGACACGGAGACAGAGGGATAGGGACAGGGGGACAGGGGGGCACAGGGACGGGAACAAGAGGGTAAGCACAAAGGGACCTGACATGGGGACACAGGGACACAGGGACGGGGACATGGGATGGGGACACAGGGACTGGGACATGGGACGGGGACACAGGGACTAGGACATGGGATGGGGACGCAGAGACGGGAAGGGGGGCACAAGGGTGGGCACAGAGGGACAGGGGGACGAGGGCACAGGGTTGGGCACAGAGGGCGAGGGACACGGGGACATGAGGAACACAAGGATACGGGAACAGAGACACAGGGACGGGGACACAGGGACACAGGGACAGAGGGGCACGGGCTTGTGGGGACACAGGGCCACAAGGATGGGGACACAGGGACACAGGGATAGGGGCACTGACAGGACATGGGAATAGGGGCGGGGGGGCAGGGACACAGGGACATACAAGTGGGGACAGGGACTCTGGAGTGATTGTGGTGTGGCACTCGGTGACCATGGGGGACCACGCCCATGGGGTGGTGTGACACGATGGACATTGTCACCATGCTGGTTGTCACAGTGATAGGCCTGCGACAGCATGTGGTCCCCACTGCTCAGTCCGGGCCTGTCCTGGGGGCCTAGGTTCCCAGGCCACAGCCCGAGGTCAGGACCCCAGCCCAGGCCTGTCCCAGCACCAGGCAGGGTGGGCCCAGGCGGAGACTGGAGGTCATGCTGGCCAGGGACAGTATGGGGAGCGGGGCCTGGTGACTCCTTCCCTCTGCAGCCCGGGGCAGGGGTGGTTCTGGTGCCTGGCCCCTCCCCTGTGTCCAGGCCTGGCTGCTGGGGGAGAGGCGGCCCCTCCCGGGCCCCAGTCTGACTGTGGGGCCCTTGGAGGTGTTGCCAGATTGTCTGTGGTTCTTGATCACACCCTGGGAGAACGGGGAGGAGGCCAGACAGTGGTGGACAGCAAAGCAAGGTTTACTGAGTGACGGAGGACAAAGGCCTGTGGGCTTGCTGGCCAATTAGCCTGTCATCCCTTCAGGTTCTTGTCATCTCGGGGGGGGGGGGTGGGGGCGGCTGAAGGGCTCCTCCCCGGGTGGGGGTAAAGCCCTCTTCAGGGTGGTTTGTACTCAGGCCTGGGGCCCCGTGTCCCTGCCGGCCTGTCCTTCATCTGCAGCCTTGGGGGTGGGGGGTGGGCGAGAGGACCTCTAGGTCCTAGCGGGGACCTGGAACCCCCTCTCCCCCAACACCGGGCACTCAGCAGCCACATCCCTGCACTGCCCAAGCACCTGCCTGCGTGGCCGCGCCCCTGCCACAGCCCCAGACCCCTTGAGGTCACTTGGACAAGCCCCTTGCTCAGGGCTGCTGGCCTTCTGCCCCAGACCCCTTCTTCCCGCTGCCACCCACCTTCCCAAGACTCCCGCTCCTCTCCCCAGGGGTCAGCCCACACGGCCCTCGAGTCAGCCCTGTGGGGGAGGCGCTGGAGG